TTGGGGGTGGGGTGGGGGTTATCAACAAAAAAGATTGTCTTAGCTCTACCAGTGAAGGAAATTATGACAAATGTTAAACCTGATAATAAAAGCTGCCAGAATGTACACTGTAGGTTTGCATTATAATAATGCTTAATTCTGGTCCCACATATACACTGCATTCAAATATTGTTTTTTTCCCCTAAAATAGGTTGTGATAAAGCTGATATAGTACTGGTTTCTAATGCTACAACGGCAATGAACAGCGTAATAAAAAGTATTAAATTTAAACCAGGTGACATAATATATTGCTTAAATACTACATATGGTATGTATGGGTAAAACATTTTCTTTTCTCAGAATTTCTGAACTTTTGTACCTTTGATAAAATGTAATGTCTTTTTTTTTTCTGTGCCATCTTTTGATTGTGACTGTCAGTTTCATATTTAAGTTCAGCTTAAGCATCTCATCCACTATGGGTTAACACTTCATCTGAAGTTTTAGATCAATATCTTCTATGGCTACAAAGACCGAAATAACAACCATCTCAAATTATGTTAGGTTATATTCTTTGATAGGTGCAGTAAAAAAATTATTGAAATTCATCAGTGAAGAAACTGGTGCTGTTATTCAGGAAGAAACTTTAGAGTTTCCACTGTCTGAAGAAAGCGAGATTATTAATAAGGTGAAAGCAACTCTCAGGTAATCATCTATCACCTGAAATTATGTATGTTGCCATATATGGGTCTTTAAATGCAATTTACATTTTGTTTTGATGATACTGTAGGACAATTCTAAGAAAATTATTCTCTCTTTTACACAAAACACAAAGGGAGTTTTCAGAGTTTATCCTGACTGTTTATATTATGTGTTCCTCATTTATCTCAGGAGAACTTTCATAAAATTTAAATTCAAGCTTTTTAGATAATTCATACTAGTAGTTTGTAATTTAGTTACTGACATGAATTGTTCTTGAGTACATCTGTAGTTATGCAGATTATTTAACCTACAAACTACTAGTTGTTATTAAACATCAAGGATGTTCATGCTTAGCCATTACTTTCTTCATTACTGCACAGACATATGTGAATAGTAATTCAAATGTATAAACAATTATAGCACTGTATTAGCTTTTTTTTTTTGAATGTTTCAGTCCTGGAACACGCCTTGCTGTATTTGATCATATCCCAAGCAATACTCCATTTATTATGCCTATCAAAGAACTTGTAGAAATTTGCCATGCAAGGTGAGAACCATTACTGGTATCAAAGGTTTATGAGATTATGATATGCAAATTTGATATCTATGTACGCTGCAATGCAAGTTCCCATGATTTCCTAGTGTGTGTCAAATCAATGTATTTTAAACATCATCACAGAACACAGTAGATGCTTAGAATAGTTTGGTTGCCTAAACAAAAGTGAATAAGTTTATCAGCAGATTGTATTCAAAAATATATAATGCATGTAATACAGCCTGATATGAACGCTAAAGCAGTTCTTTTTAGTGACTCACTTACTGTGGAATACACATCCCTTCAGCAAAAATAAATTCCAAGCAAAAATAAAGTATTCTACATTATTATACATCTGTCACCGTAACGCCATAGGTTACAGCGTGTCGTAATTTTGCGGTATTTTACGGGGTATTTTCATCCTACCATATTAGGAAATGCGAATTCCAAATATGGAATTATTACGCGCGTAAGCGCCCTCTAATAATAAAAACAAACATGGCTGCCACCAGAATTTAACCGGACTTCATACAAAGAAGTTCGCTGATTCTGTTCTAAACTTTTTAGATTTCGGCATTCCCATGATGTATCCTTGGTAGGAAAAGATGTATAATA